ATCCTTAACATAGTTTTACAATTGATAAACAAAGCGAAATTATAGTTAACGACGTTAATCTATACTTAACATCTCTTAATCATAATTTGGGCCTCGATATGTTTCTCAACTGTAATCTTAAGGGTGAAAAGAATTTAATGCAAGTGCGAAACTTTGTTTATTTGATAAATGGAGTTTCACGATTAGAAAACTATATCTGGCTAAAAACTCAAGTTAACGTAAAGAAAGGTTATCTGCTAAATATAGCTTCACGATTAATGAATCAATGGGTTTATCAACACTAAACTTTGGTTAACGAATTCAAGTTACAGTTTATTAACGAAAATTAATATTTAACAACAAAATATCATTAGAACTTAAGCTTGTTTTTTCATTTTAACCACCGAGTATGTATCTCTGTTGGTGGACAATGTCTTCGAGGATACTTGTCTCTCGGTTTAAATTCTACTAGGTATATTGAATTGATAGACGATTCCATATTGGCTGAACGGCGCCCAGTATAAAAAGATGTCAGTCTGCAGAGTCTATAAGGGGCACAGGCTCTGATAGAACGGTTGGTGCCCCTCGGATTCTCCTTCTGGATATTAGCAATGTATCATATCGTATCATACAGTCAGCAGATGACTAGTTTTGTTAGAAACAGACCAAATAAACACGATGTCTAATTTGATTCAATTTTACCTTGCGTCATTAAATAATTATAGGCCTTCATCTCTAAACTTGACTCGGTACCCTTGAAATTCTTGAATGGATAATTTGAAAAAGCTGCAAAACTGATTTGTTAAAAACATTCTTATTCTAAACACAAGTACTACAAAATTGATATTAAAAAGATGCTTGAGTTTCTGATTGACAACTTCTTCTCTAGAAATACCGAAGTAATTTCAATCAAATATATAGTGAAGTATCCTTGGGTGAAGAGATTTTATTCTCTTGAAATGAAGAGCATACTCTATTGAAAGTGGAGGCATTTTTTTAAAAAAAGTCATTTGAAACTTTGCTGCTCAAAATCCACTGGTCCAGAAAAGACAAAACTTACGGTCTGTTTCCTAAATGTGATCAGTTTTAAAGTTATTCAAACCATACCTCCTATGGTTTGAATGGGACAGAAGATAAAAGGTAAAAATTTAAAAAGAAATATGAATTGAAAATTGTTTAAAATCTTCTGGAAATCATGGCTTAAGGTATTCCATCCCTAATAGCCTCAGATTCAATGAATTTGAATACATAACAGATGTGAACGGGTGGAATACGCAGTATATTTAGACTTAATTCCCATTTATTACTATAAGCATGTAATAATGGAACGTTTCCTAATTTAATACCTTGACCTTTGTTGAAGAGTTATCTTCCTCTTTTTCTTAATTAATGAAAATCAATTTTAAGAAATCTATACGGTAAAAAAACTGTTTTTAATTGTCATTCTATTTCTAATGATTTAATGCATCTTTCCACCACAGTATTTCTTGATATTCTTATTATTTGCAGTTTTATTAAAAAAAAAATCGCTTGTCTCCATAGACTTCAATGCAATTTCTGTTAATTAATTACTGCTTAGTTAATTAATTTTTGAAACTGCTGTAAATTACTTTGAATTAATATCAGAGTATTATATACGTGATGGATATTTAAGGATAGAGAAAAAGGTCCTATTAGGAATGGAAAACCTTACGTCTTACTTAAGTGGAACGGGGCCACAGGAGGTCATGTTTACATTTGGAATAAACAAGAAAATCTGTAAGGATCTTCCCAAGAATAGAAAAGTCATAATCATATGCTGTCAAAGCACTATATAAAACACACTCATCCAGAGCCTATGATATCACCTTCTTGAATGGGAGATATTGCTTATTGTGAAAGAAATAGATGATATCACCTCTTACAAATCAGTGATATCATACGAATAAGTGATACAATCTTTAAAAAAAAGAAAATGTGATATCACTCATTTGAAAAGGTGATACCACCTAGCTACTCGTTTTGAATTGGTGGTATTACCAGAGGCGCATTCAACAGAGCGAACGTTCGCGAGAGCTCGTGAACATTTCTGTTGAAGGGATAAGGAATTCTGGCAGGCGCTAGCGAAAGTTCGCTCTGTTGGACTGGCCTCTATTTCAAAGAGTGATATAACAATTTTGCATTTTTTTTCCTGCATCAAATAATTAATGGTCCCTCCATTAGACGAATTAGCTTTAAAAAATCATGGCCGCTAAAGCAACAGGATGAAATTTTAGAAGTCAATCAAATGACAATTTTATTTCCGTACCATTGCTTCAAAAATATCATATTGATTGCGTTACGAGCAAATAATTTTTTTAACAAGACGATAAAAGACTCGGTGTACTTGATTAGAACTTAATTTAGAACTTAATTTGAGCCACATCATTTACTATTTCGGTATAGAATGAGATGTATTACACGATCAATACAATAAGATTGATTACACAATCAATATGTACAGGTCCCAGCTGACAAAGCTCGTAACAACATTGTCTTTGTTTGTAAGGTTCATTATCATAATTGTATTTTAGAGGAACTCGCATTTAATTCTGCAAGTGGTAATCCAACTTATACTCAAAATTCCCTTTCCCAAAAGGAAATTCTTCGAAATCATATATGTCAGTTTTAAATATTTTTAATATTCCCAACAGTCAAATTGAATTTGAATTACTATAGATATACTGGATACCTAAACTATATAAAATCCTTACAAACAAAGAAACATAGCGGGTTCTAGTAATTGTTCTACCAAGCTTCTTTCTTTACTCCTAACCAAAAAGGTAGCAGTGAAGGAGAAACTGCAGGAGTACTGTCTAACAACATATTCGAGAAGTGATGTTAATCAGATGTGGTTACTTAAAAACTTCAAGGATCTTTTAAAAAATTGAAATCACAAAATTTTTTTCCAAAATCAATAGCATCAATGCGACTTTGCAACACTATAGAACCAATCCTCATCATAAATCAAAGACTTTCTTGACATCATAGACAACTGCTTTTTCGATAAAAATGGAACTCGTAAATTTACCTACCTTGTCATTGGTCATCTGCAAAATCATTTTGTTTAAAAAACATTCTGATTCTTAACACAAGTACAACAAAGTTTAAAAAAAATGCTCGAGTTTCTGATTGACAGTATCTATGTAGTGTTTTTAGTTCAGGTCTCCAACAATATTATAGAATTCCTTGAGTACTAATCGTTATTAGCAGACCTGTTTTTTGTATTCATATAAAGCAGAATTTATTTAAAAAAACGTTCAACATGAAAAGAAAAAGTCTCTTGTTGTAGCCTTCAATTCAACATTTAGATATATCGACGATTTTCATTCCTCCGTTGATACATCCGTTTGAACTCGAGATAAAAGACACCACAGAGACTGATACATCTGTGTCATATTTGGAATTTTTACTAGAAAAAGAAATTAATGGCAAACTATCAACTAAACTTTTTATGATAAATGTGTTGACTTCACCTTTCCACATTTATGTAGCAATATACCATTATTACCTGCATATGGAGTTTATGTCTCCAAGTTGATTTGATACGCAGGGGCATGTTCTGCGTACGAACAATTTCTAAAACCAGGCAGGGTATTGATAAATAAATTTATTATACAAGGATATGAACAGTCTCGTTTTAAGTCAAAAATTTCGCAAATATTGTGGTCGATATAATGACCTTGTTTGCAAATACAACTTGTCGTTAAGTCGAATGTTAACTGACGTTCGATTTTTTCAAACTTAAATGTCTACGGATTTTTTTACCCGATCATGACAAGGAGACACGGTAGGTGTGACCGGTCGGCAGGGGATGCTTACTCCTTCATGGCACCTGATCAAATCTCTTATGTTTTAGAGGTCCGTGTTTACTTTGCTCCCAATTCGTATTGTTATAATGGACTTCTAGTTCCATGGACTGCTAGTTCTTTATGTTTCATCTTTTAACTTTTATCCTCAAAATCAATAGAGATCTTCTTTAGGTCACAGAGAATTATACGTTATCTTGAAAATAAGTTGTACAATTTCAACATAAAGTTACCGAAAGAATGGTAGACAGACAGATTTATAGACAGACAGAAGGGCAGGAAAAATCTATTCCCTGCTTATTGACAAAAAAATGAGGTGTATCTAATACAATCTTCAAAGTAATGACCGTGACTGTTGATCTTAAAACTACAAAGTATTAGATCATTTATATGTTTGACCTTTTATGATTGTCAGCATCCAACTTCACAAAGATGTGCCATCTGAACTATTTTGTCAGTAATTGTAAGCAATCTGTCCACAATGTCTTAAACAGTTCTATATAAAAATATCAAATTAATAAATGATTCAATACGACATCAAATGTATTTCCCTGTGTACAATATGAAAATACAAAGAGTATATAGCGAGGGTGAACAAACCATCCAGGTCAAACATTTCGTGTTTAGAGCATCTGGCCGTAAGGGACGGGACGAGCCCCCTCAATAATTTTGCCAATATAGTATGCTATAGGAAAAAAGCTACTTTATGGATGTGTCCTCTCAATAATTACATCTGATGACCCTTTTTCCGCTTATCAAGGCATTTTGCTTGGTAGTGCCCATCCAAACTGCAAATGTTTGGTTATCACCCCCCACTCTCCGACTAAAATTGTTTTTACGAGCTTGCTTCTGACATTTAAGACTTCTATATTTTCCTAACCTTCCTTGTAGCAAAAATAAATAGGTTTGTATAGGAGGGACTGGTAGGTAATTGATGTGCCTACATAAATTGGAATGAACAACTCAAACCTAATAGATCTCGGTAGCGAACTGAATAGAAATTAGTGCCTCAACAATCGATACAATCTGTGTGAAGTTTAAGCTGGATAAGGATGTCTACGGTATTAATTAATTTATTATCAATTTAATTAACTTAAACAGCTTTGTTTTATTTATAACAGGCTCGTATGAACCGTGTGTTCGGGCAGAGGCGTGTCCCCTAGAATTTTCCAGTATATTCTTTTTTTATTACAGGCCCGTAGAAAAAGGAGGGAGGGACATATGCCTCTTTCTCAATAATTTTACCAGCATGTACACTTTTCAATTGAAACCAAAATAACTTACAGCTGCGACCCCTCATAATACAACAGAAAACAACACACAATGAAGAAAGCTAACGGTTGTAATCCCTCAAATGTAAGTTTGATGACTCTTTTTTGCACTTGTCATAATTCTGATAGGTCGTATCCCCTTCCCTCAAGGAAAATGTTTTTTATACTGGCCTTTATAGAAAAAGTTGTCGATGGCAAAATTGTGTGATAAGTTTTATTTTTATTATCATAAAGTGTTCCCAGAAATTATTGAGAATTTTCTCGTAAAATATTATTTTGATATTTAAAAAATGAATTATTTATAGTTCGATATCAGTTTTTGTCAAATGCAATACTTACTTTCTTATTTAATATGCAGTTTTCATGATTATCTTTGGCCGATTGCTAATGTTCAAAATGAGTGCTTTAAAAAAAGGATAAACTATTGTAGATATTTTTTGTCAAAGATTTACAAAACTAGCGATACGTCTGAAACACTGAGGAAGGCCTTTGATTGATAAATAAACGTATACAATTGTAAAACAATTCGAATTTACTCAATTACACCCCATAGCATATGTGTAAGATCAATCGTACAATACTAATATACATCGTTGAGATGGTGACCGTCTCAAACGGCAAAAGACATAATAATGAAAGAGATTTTAAAATATGCTGCAAACGAGAACTTTATAGAATATTAGATAGGACTTTGACCACTGATCTAGAAGCTTGACTCAAGCTCACCCACACTCTCTCCCCCAAGCACTTCATGGATGAAGTTTGAGCCAGGAAGGGCTAAAGGGAGAGAAAATATGTCCCAGTCAAAGATTTTTTTCTGAAAGTTTTTGTTTTAACTTATTTTTTTTTTTGTTTTGCCTTATTTTATTTGAAAATTGGTTCGAGGTCACTGCACACCAATAGGCACTCTATGGGTGAGAGTTGAACTAAACTGAGTCTAGCGGAGAGAAAATATGATCCCGACAAGGAGTTTACACAAAATCTTTGATATGACCTACTGATTTAAAAAAAATTGCTCAATATCACTCAACATTCTCTATCCAGGTGCACTCTATTTGGTGATGTTCGAGTTAGGAAGGATAAATTTTAGATAAAATATACTCCAGGCAAAGATTTTCGATATAAAGGCTTTTTTACCTTAGAAAACTGGTTCAAACTCACCGCACCTCTACACTTCAAGTGCCCAAAAGAAATCAATCCTTCTGTCCGTCCGTTCATCTGTTCTATATTACTTCCTCTTTGTCCATTGGGGGGACCTGAGAGGTTCGAAACCTATTGGCCCAATCTGGGTCATATTTCACGATCATAGCCTGATATCTCTGATAAAAGCCTTGTCTGGAGCATATTTTGTTTCCACTTGGTCCTTTCTGTGGGTAAAGTAAAGAAAGAGCAGTGACCTTTCCTTTTACATGTACCCAGTTTCTGGATCAAAAGTCACGGTCATATCAGATTTCTGTGTGTCCTTGGGTAGAGCATATTTCCTATTCCCTAAGTCTTACTTAGCTCAGATTTCACCAAAAGAGTGCTTGTGTGTTAAGGATCAGCAGTGACCTTAACCAAATTGAAATTATCTAGGCCAGAGGTCAATGTGATAGCAGATATCTATGTGAAAGCCTTATTATGAGCATATGTTCCCCTTGGACAATCTGATCATTCCCTCACTCTAATAGTGCTTGTGGGTTGAGGTTATGCAATGATCTTACACCAGTTTCCTTGATCAAAGGTCAATGTAAAAGAAAAACTCTGTTACATCCTTGTCTGCAGGGTATTTTTTTCTCTCTCTCTTGGCCCTATTTTGCTCAAACTTCGCCCAGAGAGTGTTCATCTGATAAGGTTGTGCACAACCTTGAATAAAGGTCAAAACGGATTGATCTCTGTATGAAATATTTGTCATAAGCATATTTTCTGGCTCATACTGTATGTGTACTTAAAAAGTGGGCTTCATATTTTATCGGCTTTGGCGCGGACAACGATGCGTTTATTCATTAATACCGCTAAGAAATCATTTATAAATACAATATACTGCATGGACATGTATAGCGCTAATTCATGTTTTCGCCATCAACTCCATACCCAGAGATTCCGCTAAATTTTGAATACGTCAATTTATGTACACGTACAGTAATTTACTCATTTTTGTTGGTAGAGGATGTGTATTGACCTTGAGTCAATATCTTGACCAAAGATCAAGGTAAAACATCTCTTTGTAAAATACTTGCCCTGAGCATAATTTCTTTTGCCTTGTTTCAAATTCAGCTCACACCTCACCCCTAGAGAGGTTGTTGATACAATAAGGGTCTACAGTGACCAACAGCTAATTTTCTAAATCAAAGGTCAAGATCATGGCATAAAAGTTCTTTTCCCAATATATATGTTCTCTCCCCTTGGTCTCATCTGACTCCTACTTAACCCATAAGGTGTTCACTGGTTAAGAGTGTGAGTGACCTTGAACTAATTTTATAGGACTTCGGTCAAAGTTATAGCAAATATCTGTGAAAAATACTTAACTCAAGCATATTTTCTCATCTCTTGGCGCCTCTGGTATATACCTTACTCAAAGAGTGCCCATAAGTAAAAGTGTAAGGTCAACTTCAAACGTCAAAAACAGTCCCTTACACGTGAGTCTTTCATCCTTATGTCTTTGGTAAAAAACGAGACCCTTTGATATAGTTACCATCTCAGTGATATCAAGTTTGTTTCATTTCAACATTTCAGAATGATTATGAGGAGTGTTATTTATTTGATCCACAAATCCTTCACGATCTGGAGTTTGAGAATCAGAAAAGTGCCAGCTACAAGCCGGAAATCAATCTGACAAACCTTGGAGAGGGGCTTACAATAAGGCCCCTGTGTATCTCCGACTATGATAAAGGTCAGATACGTTCATATATATTTGTAAACCAACTTTCTTGCATGTACAAATAACTAACTTTTGGGAGTTTTGCGAGGATGGAGAAATTGTGGTAGTGTTGCTATGAACGAATTAATTGCTCTGCATGTTCAAATTCCCAGACAGTAAAACAAAGCAGCCGCCAAGGAGAGTTACAGTGTCTGCCATGTAATGACACTGATAGTATTTTATTAATAGATCTGTACTTACTATTGATGTCAGGAAGCACTCTAGTAGGTGTGAATATATACAACGTAAGTTTTATCGTTATATTGCCGTCACATGGACCCGGTTTACCTGTGGTGAAGGCTTGTCCTAAAACAGAGTTAGATTATTCTAACTATAGTTTGTGTACTTCTCACCCATGCAAGCCAAGTTTGACCGCTTCACAGAATGGTTTTGTTTGTTTGTTTGTATGTTGTTTAACGTCCCTCTCGAGAATTTTTCGCTCATATGGAGACGCCACCACTTGCCGGTGGACAGCTGCAAATTTTGTCATATACTCGGTACTTACGGCCATTGAGCTGTGAGGGATCTTTTTCGTGCCATCACCTACTGCGACACGGGACCTCGGTTTATACGGTTTCATGCGAAGGACCGGTCTCCACGTCCCACAGTGGGATTCGAACCCGCGACGTAAGGATCAACTCCTTACTTCGCGACTCTAGAGCAGACGCTCTGACCAGTGAGCCACGCGGGCGACTTACAGAATGGTTAATTGTATCTGAAAGAGTTTGAGATTGATTTGGATCGATTTGTGGGATTTCTCTAAGTTCTCTGAGGCTTTCTCCTTCAGTAATGGCCTTTCTACGCCTACATTTTTGCCACCAAAAAAGATTTGTGCAAGTTGTATAACTTGTTTCTTAATTGATGAAAAATAATAATCTCTTCTTTTTTGCCTTCAGGTTTATTATATGAAAAATGTGGAAAATATTGTGTTGGTTGATAAGGGGGAAAGCCATGACGCTTGTACATGTATGAGCACATTCAACACTACAAATCAGTAACTATTTTATGTCCCCTCACATTAAATCTATATGTATGTCACAACCATCTTACTTTTATCTCACTCATCACATTAGCTGCATATGTCTTCCAAATCAGATAATGGTTAAATCTACAAAAACGAAGTTCAAGTAGCTAGAAAAAGACATATAAAAGTTAAATGTTTTTGACGGCTTCTGAGGCTGTTATTTTTTTTTTTAGAGTGAATTGAGATGATTTCTAGGTAGTCAAATGATATGCAGGGTTTAATCTATTACTTAGTCAGTGGGATAACTATTCATCTATTTTATCTTTGATTTGATGACAGTTTATTAGTGACCTTTTGCTTTTCCTAGGTTACCTTTCCCTTCTAAATCAACTTACAGAAGTTGGTGACGTTTCCCGTGAACAGTTCGAAGGTAATCGACACCTAAGTAATACACGGAAACATTTTTTCTTATTGTGATTATCAAGGATTACACAAAGTGTGGATAGGCCTACATTATTAGTCAGAGTATTAGTCAATCAGTCAAAGTACAGTAAAACGCGGTTATTAGTAACTGGGATTTCAAAGAAGAGGTTTCAATAAAGCTGTTTTATGGCCCATGTTTTTTGCGAAAAATAAAATTGAATTGTGTACAATTTTTAAACTTATTTTCATAATTTTCAACATTTCTAATTTTGTGATTTGTATTTTTATCCTGAGAAAATCTAAAAATGGAATAAACGATGGAAGTATGGTATCCTCAACCACATTAACATTGGGTATATGGGAAAATGTTGGAGGGATATGTTGTTTAACCTTCTGGTATGTGTTGCATTGAGTACCAAAACCATACTTTGACAATCGATTACTTTTTTGTGCAAAAACATTATACTGGAATATGACCGTGATACTCAATGCAACACGCACTAAGATAATAATAAGTTTGCTAATTATGCCCCGGATCGAAAGATCCCGGGGGTTTATTGTTTTTGTCCTGTCTGTCTGTTTGTCTGTTTGTTTATCTGTTTGTCTGTCTGTCTGTTGTCAACTTTAACCTTGCCCATAACTTTTGATTGGTTAGAGCTATGACTTTCATATTTCACATGTGTATTCCTTGTGACAAAACCTTTCTTTGGGTACCATCATATTTGACCTTTTGACCTTTACCTTGGAATTTGACCCACTTTTGCAAAATTTTATGAGACTTTAACCTTGGCCATAACTTCTGAACAGTTGGTGTTTGGGGTTTCAAACTTCACATGTGTATTCTTTGTGACAAGATCTTCCTCTAAATGTCAACCTCTTTGACCCTTTGACCTTGACCTAGGAGTTTGACCTACTTTTGAAAAACTTTAACCTTGGCCATAACTTTTGAATGGTTGGTGCTAGGGCTTTCATACTTTACATATGGAATCCTTGTGACAAGCTAAGACCTTCCTTTGGATACCAACCACTTTGACCCTTTGACCTTGACATAGGAGTTTGACCTACTTTCAAAAAACTTTAACCTTGGCCATAAATTTTGAATGGTTGGTGCTAGGGCTTTCATACTTTACATATGGAATACTTGTGACAAGCTAAGACCTTCCTTTGGATACCAACAACTTTGACCTTGACCTTGATGTTTTACTTACTTTTAAAAAACGTGAACCTTTGCCATAACTTTTGAACAGTCGCAGCTAGGGCTTTCAAATTTAACATTTTTTATCTTTTGGCCTGGATTTTGACTTACATTTGAGAAACTTTAACCTTCGCCATTAGATGGCATACGGGGGCATCAGTGTTTCACAAACACATCTTGTTTTGCAATTATGTTGAGTTGTGGTTGATTCATACAAACATTTAAAGTGATCAATACACATTCATATATATAGTCCAGTTTCATAAACATATCAATTAAATAGGTGTACTATTTGTTATGATGTCCAACATGAGAGAAAAATCCTTTTTATTATAACATGCCTGTGTGTTTGTCTGTGAGGAAAACCACAACTTTGACATAAGATAAGGGAGTTGCATTCTGTGTTTGAAAATATGTAAAGATCAAGCTCAGGCTTATTGTTTCACAGTAAACAAAATAATTGTTTTGTGAATATCTAGGTCACAGTTTCTAAACTTGGGTGTTATAGCAGTATCACAAGTTAAATGTAGTTCTTTTTTTTTCCTGTTATCAAAACCCAATACAATCTGTGATCTGCTCTTTTCAACTTATATGTGAATTTGAATTTTACAAGATATGATATTGTTGATGATGCAGTCTGTATTTCAAACAATCTTAAATATAAAAGGATCAGTGTTCTTATCAATGCCTGAGTCAATTGTTGTTATTCAAAAAGATACTGCTTGTATCTTTGTGCAATCCAACGCGCATCTTTAGTGTTGCAAAAACCTTTGTAATTTGCGACTGAAGTAGCATCTCAGATGTCAGAGGAGATTTTCTGAATGGTAATCCCTGGGACACTAGTAACGGGAAAGTAACTAGAAACGCGTTGGTCGCCGTAGGGACTCCGTGACATCTTTACGTTGTGAAAATTTTACAGAAATTTGTGCAATTTCCCTGCGATTCCAAGGCGATTTTAATAATTTAACAACGCCGTAATAACTCCGTGGGAACGCAGCCTGCTGTGACAGGGCCTTTAAGTAAGAAAATGCTGGTTTGTTAAGGGTAAGAATTTAATCATGTCATGTTTCATCGTAGGAGATATCTATTCTAGTACCCTTCATTTACACCCCCCCCCAATACTGGTTAGTACAGACCCGTAGGAAGCAAATTCAATTGGGGGGGGGGGGGGAGGCACAGCCATATATTTTCAGTTGACAGTTGAGGGGGCACTACCTAAAATTTTCTGACAAGCAAAAAAAAAAGTCAGCAACTATCAAAAATTCCTTGACAAGCAAGACGTTTTATTGAGGGGGCACAAGCATATAGTATCCCGTGCCCCCCCCCCCCCCCCCCCCGGTTCCTACGGCCATGTAGTATTATCAATGCAAAATATATCAAGAACTATTGGCAGATGTGCACATTTTGGTACCTGGTGTTTTAGCGACATTTTGAAGATACGTTCCAGACGAAAATGGGCACAGACTTAGATTAAAATGAAACATTTTCAGAATAAACATTGTATGAAATATGTAATACAAATGCATGGAAATTGCTTTTTTTAATTGATTCCTTATGCATGAGATACCTGTAAATAATACATGCTTGCCTGTTTATTATATGCACTAGATGAAATCCCGCGCAAGCGCGGGGAATTGAATTTATACCACTACCGACAGAAAAAAATCCAGTAATATATATCTACTGACAGCCTACAGGCTTATAGCAGGAAGAAATACTTTGTTCAAAATCCCGCATGAAGTAGAAGTACGTCTCCACCCCCACCCCACCCCCTTTGAAAAACTTAAATAACAACTTCATTAATTGACGTCTATTGTGAAACCTGTTATATACTATGTTATTGATATTGTATATACTGTGTTATGGATATTGTACTTCAGATACTCTTATTTCATTTCCGTCAAGAAATGCACATTTTACCGAGAAATTGATTTTTTTTTTTTGGTAAAAATTCACAGGTACTTTGGTCATGGTTTATAAATATGTATGTACTTTATTGATATGTAAAAACTGTACCTTACCTTTTTTTTTACATATCAATAAGGTACATACATGTTTATAATCCAAGACCCAAGTACCTGTGTAAAAATTGGAACGCCCTATGAATACACTGGCGGATTTAGGGGGGGGGGGCAGCCCCCCTCCCTTTTGTGTCCAAAATATACATAAAATTTAATAAATCATTTTGGGGGGGGGGTGTCTGGATCCGCCACTGGAATAGGCCAAGTATTTGATACAAAAGACTGTATTCAGAAAATAAAACTGAAATGTATTGATTAAAGCACAAAATTTTACAGCATAATTGTATTTGAGCAATCCGTGTTCATTAATTTTCTCTTTTCATGTAAGCAGATTTATTACGAAGTCCAAATTGTACTTTGGGTTCGTTGCCACGATGCTCTCAGTGAGGAATATACAAATTTTACCGATAAATTTATTAGGAAAACCTACTAAATAAATGTAATAGTCTTTCGATATATAAATATATTCACAACTTACAGTGTTATCAATGACTTACCATTATTTCAATGACCATTGACACAAAAGCTTTTTTTTTATGTTAAAGCAGCTATTTTCTTTTTAACATCGGGCTCGATGCTATATGATGTTCTAGAAGCTTCCGTCAATATTACGATCGGTGAATGACGAAAATAATTTGCACATTTTCCTTTTTAATCGGTTATCACAACTTATTTCTTTTATATCAATTAAATCAAGTTTTGATTGAATAATTCAGTAATGACGTTTAATGAAATAAATAAACGATTGCTTGTTGCCAGTTTCATTAAAAATTGCCAGTAACTTAGATCCGCCAACCGGAAAAGCCACCATACTCACGTTTTTGCTATTTCATGGCTGTTTATAGAAAATAAAAGTAGACTTTTAATTTAATGTACGATACTTACAATGCAAGTGAAATCTAATTATAGTTTACGGACAACATCTTGTATCGTGTGTATTCTTAGAGGAGTAAGTAAGAACTAGGGTGCACCCGTTTCAGAGTTTATTTGCAAAATTTATTAATTTATAAGCATAGATAGTATATACTTTCAGCATCAATTCTAAATGCACATTGAATTTTTATTTCTATAATCCTATTAGCCGTGCAAAACAACTTAAGAGATTTATAAACTTTCTATGTATTGAAAAAAAGCCGTAATCAAATACTTCGAAATCGATGTGCTTACGTATAATGCGTACTGGTCTTTTTTGCTACTTGTAAACGGATGAAGGGGTTGCAAGCAAAATTTATGCTAAAAATATGTCACAATATATAATATTTCTTAATTTTGAAAGTTTTGTTTTCATATCTGATTGTTTTTCATATCTTTGTATGTTATTATAAATACCAAATATATCTAACAAGAAAGTGTACACAATTTCCTTTGAATTTTTATGGCCCAAAATTAAAAGAGTTTCTCTTTTAAAAAAACTATTGTAATAATTAACCTTTTGAGTTATTTCAGCCTCATTTATGTTCCCTGATGATTTACTGTTAATATTTCTTTGGTTTTTCACAATAAATAGTCAATTACATGATATAAATCGTCAAAACCATCTTGGATGCTCTTAGAGGGACCCTTTAGATACCCCTTGGTCACGTGACTATTATACGTTGGTTTTGCAAATAAACTATAAAATATAACATAGGGAACATTACTTGACTTTACTAAACAGATGAATTTGAAATTCATCATGGGCCAAAAAAAAAAACAGCCTTATGGAAACCACCTCTTCTTTTGCTTCCTTATAACCTTTATAACCGTACATGAAGCAGACTGAAGTCCTCACTGAGATTCGCAGAAAGTTCCCAATAACCGAAATTTCCTTATGAGCGAGTTCTATATAACCGAGATTTACTGTATTAGTCAATTAGAGTTTTAGTCAAGGTATTTATCAATTTGTCAGAGAATTCGTCAAAAAGTCAGTGTATTGGTCATAGTTTTAGTCAATATTTCAGAGTATTGTTCAGAGTACTAGTCAATTAGTCAAAGTAATAGAGTACACGTCAATTAATCAGACTATTAGTCAAAGTATTAGCCAATTAGTCAGAGCATTAGTAAGAGTATAAGTATTTAGTCAGTGTATTGATCAGAGTATGTCAATTAATCATATTATTAGTCAATTATTCAGAGAATTGGTCAAACTCTAGAGACTTTCAGCAGATGAATATGCTATTGTGATTACAGTGTCAGTATTCCTGAAAATTTCAGAAGTACTTACCTTGTCATGTTTTAAATTTTTGGACACTTGGTAAAAATTTTTAATTGCTCTTGTGTAATTTGTAAGAAATGATAAATGAATGAAGTGAAATTGTAGAGCGATTCCAGTTGATGAAGTCCCAGCCAAACCTGTATTATACTGTGGTGATAGAGGACACAGTCATGCACCGAGTAGTTGGAACCACAACTCTAGTGAAGGAAATGCACTTTATACGACAGTGTGGTTTTGTATGTAATAAAAATCCCTCCCTTTTTGAAAGGTTCTGTTTTTCTAAAGTAAAGAAAAGTAAAATATATCTTCAATTTAATTAAAGATCTTGTAGCATTCTTTATAGAGATGAACTTATTTTTGGTTAAAAAACTGGCAATCATGATTTGGAGACGATGATTGATAATATGTTGTTTTTAACGTTTCAATCGAGAAATTTCCACTCATGTAGAGATGTCACGTGAGTTTGGGCGAAATGTCTGAACTTTTGACCATAACCGCTAACGGCCATAGCCATAAGGTATCTACATCTGCCAACACGTACCATGGTCCTTGGTTTTAGGGTCTCATTTGAAAGACCCGTGACCTTCACTTTCAGTGTTGGGGCTTGGCAAAATAATAAATCGCGGCGCCATTACGAGAATCGAAGGCGAACACCCTACCACCATGTTGAATAGGATTCATTGATTCATTTAATTAAAATGAAATGGTCATTTTTATGAAATCAATTTTTTAAAAATAATTATGTATTTAGCACACAATCCATACATAGCATTATATACACTCAAGAATATTACAATTAGTAATGAACAGAGAGAGAGAGAGAGAGAGAGAGAGAGGGCATATCAGCACATAATTCGGTTACGTTAAAATTTCACTAAATATCCAAATTTGAATAAAACATTTAATTCCATCAACTCCAGTTCATGTCAAATATTTCTTTGTCTCAATTTTTATTTGATGTATATTTTTGAAAAAAATAATTAATGTGTGATATCGTAATGCCAACCTCTCATTTATAATCTGAACATCTTATAGTGTAAATATTTAATTCAAAACATATTTGAAATATTTTATCTACCAGTTCAACACGTTTTGGATGTTTTTCCCCCAAAAGTCAAAAATAAAACTGCACTCAGTGAATAAAAATTGTACGCCTGTCTTTTGCTCACAATATATTTCAAAATTTTGCAAAAATGTCTGCACCTTGTCATATAATCTTTTATCACCTTCTTTCTGTATTCTAGAAAGATAGGAGTTTGTGCCTAGTATTTTATTTTCCACAACTTCATTCCTCCTTTGCAGAGAGGAAGAATAGAAGATGTGATTGTGCATAGTTCATACCAAGGAAAACAGTTAGGCAAGCTGTAAGTTAAAATAAATTGTGTTAAGATAGGAAATCACGATACAGTTGGACCAGCATTTATAGTACTGGAACAGTAGAACATAGTTATCATGGTTATAACAAATTCATCTAAGCATATGAATTTATTTGCTGTAACCTTAATCTTGATATCCAGTTAATGAATCAATATGAGCTCAACTGAGCCAAAGTTATTTTGAAGCATTTATGAAGATACTAATTTGCCTATTCATTAGTTTTAAAGTGTATACAAATTTGGTACTTGAGCTGTTTAAATTGGTAAAATTGGAGACGTTTTCGTAATTTAATTGAAATTATACATTAAAAGTTCAAACTCATTATATGTTGGGTGACAGGTGCTTGTTATCAACTAAATAGTTCATATACATTACACATCCAAATATAAGTTCTTGTATTTCTTTTTTTTTGGGGGGGGGGGGGGGTATGACTATTGGGAAATTGATATACTCAGGAAAAAGCTACCTTTTTGAATTTTCAACGCCTAATCAAAGATAATCAAAGCCCTATATAGGCAGTATTTGTCTGTATGAAGATGAACATCTATTTTATTGGTTTATTGTTCTCTATTTTTCTGCTAGATTGGTAGATGCTTTAACACTACTGAGTAAGAGGCTTGGCTGTTATATGGTGTCTCTTGAGTGCGATGACAGGGTAGTTCCATTTTATTCCAAATTCGGATACGTTAAGGAAGAAGAACATAACTACATGCTACGGCGATTTATCCCCAAATAGGTCAAAGGTCTAACTGAAGGGGAAGAGACACAGAACTTTCTGAATTTTAAAAATTTCTTTAATGTATTGTCTAGATTTCTTCTTTGGATCTGCTCAAGTGATATATAGATTGTAATAATAGTTAAATCAATTTACTAGAAGAAAGAAAATTTGTTTCTATCTTTTGTTGCATATAATCAAGATAAAACACTCTTTTCTGAAAACTAGTTAATGGTGTAGAGTTCTGCTGATGGCAGTGGTAAGACGTACCAGTGCCACTTATTACAAGTATTTCATCAAACACCCCTGTGATGCCAAAGATTTTTTTTTTAACAAAATACGTCATCTATTTATATTTGTACCCGATATATATTTATCTTTTGGAAAGCTTTTTTACAATAGGTGTAACGAAAAAAAAATGTTTCGTAAAAATATTTTAAAAAAATTACTATAATTATAAACACTGTAACAACCCATTCATTCGTTAATTATGTTTTCTTTGCATATTTCTATTCTTAAATGGTTATCTGTTATCCAAAATTTAAAGATTTTTAATAAAGAAAAAATAATTTAAATCTTTCATCATTAGAATTGTTTTATTTAAACCAGTTTTTATGCAAATTTAATGATGCCGAATTTAAAAAATGTGCAAATGTTCATGCTGACTTACACTTTTGTTTGTTTATGTCTGACGTCCTAAAAAAGATGGAGACCTATACATTTGGATTGTCACGTGATCAAATCCCGTAAATCTCGAAGGTCTTTACTTTTCGTGAAGGGAATGAAAATTTCGATTTTTGTCACACTTCTGATATTGACAGAGACAAAGGGAAAATCAAAGAAAATGTAATAAATAGAAAATTCAATATTTTGTAGTTGGGTATGGAATTTATTTCACCTGTGAGACAGAATTTTTTTTTTAATTTTTTTATGTGCAACACAAAAACATTGAATATCCTCTGCGCATTTGCAATCGTTCAATCAGCGTAACCATTTTTTTTTTAATTTGTCACGTTTTAGCTTGATCAAATACTTCTGTGAAATCAATAATTGTCTTTATTCAATTGTTTTATTATGTAACAATTGATTTATGAAAAGTTTAATGTACTTATGTAATAGTATAAAATGAGATTAATAATATTAAGCTTCATATGAATATTTTTGGTCAAATGCAAGGGGTAGTTACATGTGTAATCTTGACTACATGAATTGTTCCACTCAAATAAATGGACACTTTTTATGGTAAAAAAACCATCATTGTTTTTTCAAGGACATTATTTTTATTTTTAAAAGGAATCTTGTAAGCTGAAAAACCTACATATATACCAGCATTGTTGTATCTGTGAATTTCAGAATATTCACAAACCTCAAATTGATAACTCGAGTTTAAAAAAAATCCGTCATCCGCCATAACCAGTTTTCAATGCATCTTGAAATTCTTTTTGAAATATAAGTACAGGGCATTTAGAAAACTTCTTGTGGTGTTATGTATTATGTTTACTAGCATTGTATCTCCTTGTATCCCTAGTGGCACTTTTTGATGTTCTGCATTTATGATAAAATTATGGGTACTTAAGGAAGTGCGCACTTAAGTGTTTGGATTCCGAAGTGACAGGATGAAAATCTTTAAAAATGTATTTATATTCATAGAATATTGTGCATACATGTATACAATCTATCATAATGTTATTAAAAGAGAGTAAAATGCTTCTTAAAGGACTTTTTTCTTTTGGGAGTATTTCAAAAAAGAAATGTATACAAATTTTGTTTATCTTAATTTTATTGTGACTTTTAAACATTTTATACAATAAGGTATTTGTTACGTAAAACTTTTTTCAGACATCAGGCAAGTGGAAAGAGGGTGTTGCAGTTCTTTTGTTATTTTCCTTGAAGTTGTAGCAGTTTGAAAGAAAAATTTTAAGTAACAGAAAACGGTCTTAAATTTTTTTCAGATACAACGGTATATACAGCACTATGTAGAACAATATTTAGAAACTGCATATCGACTTCCAATTTGCCATTAAATGAAATGTAAATTAGTCACATAGCAAAATAAGTCAAGTTTTCTGTTTTTCAAACAGGGAATCCCCATTGTTCTGAAAAATTGCCTCCTTGAAACAGAATGAATTTGATATACGCATAAAGAGATAGGATTTTTCTTCAAAACTGCCATTTCCGATTTTTGTTTCAAAGAGGCATATTTTTGAAAATCACAAAAAATGAATAAAAATTATTATCCATCCGAAATGCAAAATGTGCACATGAAATAGCACATTATAATTCAGTGTCGGAGCTGGTCTAGTGGTAACGCGTGTGGACTATCTGCGAAGTACATTTTACCTGAGAATGGGTTCGAATCCTGGAATGGCATACATGATTTTTTTTCTTATATAATGGAAGTATGTGTAATGTAACAATTCTCTCTTGAGAGAGAAGGAGAGAGGGAGAGAATGTCTAAAAGTTAATGGGTAATATTTTAAATGCATGCAGAATTAAATTGTTTTCATTGATATTGTGATCAAAAACTAGAAAGACATACCTTTAATGTTATTATTTAGTGGCGATATCTTAAAAAATAAGGTACTATCATTTTAAATAATTTAATTTTTTCATACTTATTTCTTTCATTATTGTTTTGTTAATTAGTGGCTCAGATTTAACTTGAAACAACTAAATTGAAATGACTCAATGGAATTTCTTGGATATTGCATCAACAGCGTGATTATTGGACACATTTTTATATATATATTTATTGAAAAATATAACACAATCTGTCTACAGTACATCTTTAATTTCAAAATGATGTGTGAGGTGCACTTGCCATTAATTGTGCTTTCTATCGCTCAAACTTTTCTCGTGCAGCATGGCGACAGTGATCATAGATGTGAAAAAAAAGTTTCCTAACAGGTCGCCGGTGTATGTTAGGAAAAACTATGCATGAAATAAACGTAAAATGTTAAATGTTTTGTTATAACAAGCTGGACAAATCCGCCGTATAAATAAAGTCAACTACGTAGCATTATCTATATTTAGAGATAACTCTTCATGCGTCGTTGGTATTTAAATGTCCTTCCCGACTTAGGGAATAACCTCGAGTTTCTGCAACACCCTCTTTAAACCTAATTCATCGAGTTTAAAAAATAACCACTCGATGTTTAATCTAAATATGCAAGGCTAAAATTCACAAAAGATCTTAAAAAATAAGTTCTTTATTTATGAATGGTTATTCATTACCTCAGTAACTTGAAAATAAAAAATGAAATGTGACCCCTATGTTTTTTGTCCTAGATATACAAAATGGTAGGTAAAGCAGTAATATTCATGCAATTTTCATGCAATTATTTAAAAAAAACCTGACACTAGTTGTCTTTCAAATTCCACACGAAATCTCTCAATCTGTTCCTCTTTTACTACATTATTCGCCATAATGTCAAGTAGTAGTTTAATATTTCTCTTCCAAATACCATTTTACGCTAGTACATACACTTTCATGAGGTGTAGAATTATATGCTACAGTAACGTAATCCAAATGTAGGCCCCGGTCCTTTTGATGACTCTTTATGTACTTTGACAGCATGTCTTGTCCTATTCATCCTCTCAATCAAGCCATCAGACCTAGGATGTAGAGGAGTTGATCTCCTCTTTTTTATCTGTAACATTCGACACAACTCAAGAAATAAGGCACTTTCATACTGCCTCTCTTGGTCAGAGTGCACCTCAACTGGACACCCTTATCTTTTTATCCACATCAGCTACAGTTTCAGTTCTTTTATATTTTCCAAAGGATATGCTTCAGTCATTTTCGTAAAATAGTCCCCTACGACCGATATGTAGCGATTTCTTTTTTCAGTTGTTGGAAATGGTCTTGCGAGGTCCGTGGCAATTCTCTCAAATGGCGTATCTTCAACGTAATCTACAATCTACAACCTATTTCTGTAGAAAATGACGTTTTTTTTCCTTGGGGGGTCTTTCCGTTCCATACATATCTCGCATTTCTGCACACACTCTCTTATGTCTCGTACCATAACCCTCCCCTCAACAAATCTTTGCTTTTTCCACAGTTTTCTTTATTCCTTTATATAGCTTGGAGTCATGTAGATGTCACAATACAACATCCAAAATAGATTATGGAGCACAGATCTACTTTTTTTTTTAGCCATCTTCCCATAGGATGCAAACACCTCCATTTTTCACCTCTAATATCTCCCATCTTGACAGCCAAAATTTAAATTCAGGACTCTCTGCCATAATTATATTCATCTCCGGTTTCTCAGCGTTGTCACTTTCTGCTTAGGTATTGTTCCAATTACTGCAATATCGCATCGCCTCGCTCCTTTCTCAGCGTACTATAGTCAAGATCGAGCTTGGGTCTGGGTCTTTGTTTTGCAGTTATAGGCCTTTTTACCTTTCTACCCATGTCAAAATAGGCGTTCCATCGGCCACATTCAAATCATCTAGTCAACTATTACTTCATTATTTGGAAAAAATTAGGCTTTCAGAGTCTAAATCATCCTCTAAAAATTTCTCGTTACTCACAGATTGAACTTATCATCTTGCTGTCCAACTATATGGACCGTCTACTTCTGTAGATCCTTGGTACATACGTTACTCAACATTTTTGCTTGTTATATACTTCTTTTGGTATTTCCGTTAAACTTGACATTGCATCTGCATTCCCATGTCTGACTTTCTGGTCTACGTACTATCTTCATATGAAATTGACAAAGTTGCTGATTCCACCCATGTATTTGGCCATCCGGTTATCTTGAAATTAAATTCTTCAAACGCTGGTTGGCACTCATGTCTCCAGAACCATTTTTTGCTTGCTTAAGTGAGGTCGTACGGAGGTTTTGCAATCTTTGAGTAGTCTTTTACAAACTTTCGATAATAGCAGGCTAATCCCAGGAAACTTTGTACATCTTTAACAGAAGGTGGTAGTAAAAATTTATCTTTTGCCTTGGTCTTTTCCGGATCTGTCTGTATACCTTCATTTGAAACCACGTGTACCAGGAAACTTATGTTCTTCCTCAGGAAATGGCATTTCTTAGGGTTGAGCTTCAGCCCAGCCATCCGTTCATAATCTCATTTAGATTCTTAAAATGTTCTTCAAGTCTTTCCAAATACAGATATCATCCAGATACAGTACTGCAACGTACAACTGCAAGTTGGTCAAACCTTTTTTATATAATTCTTTAAAACGTACCTGCCGCGTTGCACAGGCCGAAAGGAATGGTGATATACTGGTAAAGACCACCCCTCCGTGTGGCAAAAGCCTTTTTCCCCTTATCTCCTTATGCAAAAGGTATCTTGATGGTAAGCCATATCTAAACCTGGGGAGGAAAACCATTCAGTGCTATTGAGAGAATCTAGATTATCATCCCTTCTTGTCAGGGGATAGGCATCCTTAACAGTTTGTTTATTCAATTTCCTATAATCGATAAACGTCCTTCACGACTTATCCTTCTTTTGTA